ATATATATATATATATATATATATAGGAAAAAGATAAGGTGTGCAACCTAGTTTAGATAAGCTAAATGCGCCAACGTCCCAGATTTTGACGATCACAAGTGTCCGGTAGTGTTTGAATTTTAATTTTTTTTTACAAATTCAAATAACTTAAAATTTTAGCCTTGTGTTCATAAAAAATAAATGAATATTTGAAAAATATTAAAAAATATTTTACATTAAAAAATAACCAAAATACCCCTATAAAATTTCGGGGTATTTTGGTTAATTATGTTTTTGCGGATAATTTTTTTTATATTTTTATTAGGTGTGCCTTAATGAGAAGAACATACGCCTATAATTTCAAGTGATTTGGATTTGTAGAAAAAAAATTAAAATTCAAATACTAGCGTATATCTATGATCGTCAGATCGGCTCAGATTCAATCTGAACCGTTGTTGCATTTAGCTTATCTAAGGTAGGCTGCACACTTTAGCTTTTTCGATATATATATATATATTTATATTATATATATATATATATATATATATGATTTTTTGTTATATATTATTTTATGCTATTTTATAAATACAAATAAATTTTTGGATCCAATAAGTTCGGATCTGAAACCAAATCCGATGTATACTTTTTTATCTAGATCCAAATCTGAATATTATGAATCTTTTCACATTTGAATCGGATTTATACTTTTCATATACAAAGCTGGATCCCGACACGATATGACCTATTCTCAACCCTAACTGCAGGGACCTCAAACACCAACACCATCAAATGTGATTGGACAGTTCAAATCACATCCGAAAATCTCATTTCTCAATTTTAGGCATTTATTTGAACTATCCGATATAATATGTGCGAACGTTGACATTTGCACCGTCAAATGTGATTGGACGAACTAGATGCAAAAATCCCCGACCTCAATATCCACTATCAAATTGTATTGGACGGTACATATTGCACGATCCACACTACTTTTAGTAAGCCAAGACCTACATCACAACTTGGTTCAATAATAGATAAAGGAAAATGCTCAAGATCACAAAAAAAAAAAAGGAAAATCCTAAAAGATTTCATATTCCAGCAAAGCATACTATCCACGTATTCCCTTGATTGAAAACCAATACCGAGGTAGTTTTAGGACCCAAAATTTTAGGGATGTAAGCTCTTCAACCTAACGACTAACCTAAAAAAAATAAAAAAAAGTAAATAAATTGTACTTTGCATGTGATTTAATAAAGTAAAGTCTCAAGATTGAAAAAATACATGCTAAGGGTGTGATCTTAAGTGTTGAAAATTTCATAATAGATATGTTTCTTAATATTCATATGGTGATTCAAAAATAAATCCCAAAAATTCAAACCAAAAAATTTCCCAAATAACCCTTTCACCAGAGAGACTAATTGTACATTATGCTCCTCTGTGAACGTAGCATACATTATCAAAGAAAAAGAACAGTATTGTAGGCCATGAGAGCAATTTGCGAGCTCGAACGTTTACCAATCAATATAGAAGGATGGACAAACTTTCAAGTTTAAACTTCCAAAACGAACCTTAACTAATATGAAATTCTCAAGATGACAAATATATCATTTAACATTTACTTACTTTATAATAATGATAAATAAATAGGCAACTAAAGTAATTTTGACCATTCACACCCTTTTATATACATATAGTACAAGGTTTGGGAATATTGTATAAATTTTTTGTATGCAATTTGGATGTTTTTTGTCAAGATTGGCGAGTATTTTAGCCATAATCCCAATTTTTTTATTTTCATTTTTTGGTATTTTTTAAATGCCTCCAACTTAAATCACTTTTTTGAAATCCATTTTTTTATACATTTTCAAGTTTATTTGGATATTTTAAGGTTGTTTTTTGCTTCATTTTAGTTTTATTATATTTCTTCGTATTTTTTATTTTTCTAGGGCTTTTGACCCTTGTAATGGACTTGGGCGAGTAACTGTGATTCACCCTTAAAGGAGTTACTCGGTCTTGCCCGAGTCACTTGCCTCAACCAAGGGCCAAGTACCCAGGCCAAGGCAAGCTATAACATTGAAAATGACATCAAAAAGAAAAAAAAACATTTGCTAGAGCACTAGCACCAGAAAACTATGCAATCTAACTTCAAAAATCACCGTGCTGTTGGGTAGTGGCCCCAAAAGCTCTAATGAATCACCTCAAATCCGAAAAGAACTTGCATAACTTTGATTTGGATTTTCATAGATGCTCCATCTCCATTGCAAATAAAAAATCATAACTAAGTCAGACCTTCGAACAGGTAGTGGGTCTAGGGGATAAATCTTGTTTTTAAAATCATGATTGTACTTGGGTGAGGCACCTCTAAGAAGCAACTATCCAACTCTAAAATGTTCTTTTGAAGTTGCGAGCAGCAATATTTGCTGCAAAAGAAAAAATAAAATTCTATAAAAAATGGTTACAACTTGTGTGGTTGGACCAATTTGTTGTATTGGATTGAGCCAACCAAACAAGGTGTATCTCTAAATTTTATCAGAAGATATAATTCCATGTCGGAAACCTTACGATGTTTAAATAACCCATGTTCAAGCCTAATTATGAAATTGAAAATTCTAAAGACGTTGTAAATCGAGTAGATCTATAAACACTTGAAAATCTTAAAAACAGATAGTCTAGATAACTTGTTACAAGATGCATTATTTTTCTGATTTAATTATTTTGGTTTTGGTAATCCATACATCTTGAGGTTGAGATAATCAATTAGAAGGTTTTTCTACTTTGAAATACTCTTTTCTACTATATTTCTGAAGTGCACCTTACTTCCATATTTACATTATAAAGTTGCAATCTTTTATAAATTTGTCCCTTTTAATGTACTTTGTGAATTATATTCCGATAATAGGTCATTTTTATTCTTTAAAACCCGTTTGAAGGTTCTTATCAAGAAACTCAGTTTAGCTAAACCGTCCGTCCTTGGGAATGGATGGTGGATATCTAGGTGTACCATATACATATGTATCTATGGCGTTTGTTGTACTTTCCCCAATTATAAACAACTTAGTAAGAGGGAGAGAGATTTACACAGTATATGATGGAAAGGAGCCCAAGATTCCAATCTAATTTCCATGAACATGGATTCCTGTCAAAGGCCAGGGCCACCACGACTGCCTGAACACTGCTGATGAGGGATTGCAAAGCCGTCAGATGCAGCCTCGCAGGGTACTCCTTAAGAAATTTAGCCTGCAAGAAAAATAACAAATGAAACAAGAGACAGATTCAAGAACTTTGGCCTACAACAAATATGACAAATGAAGAGAAAGAGAGAGAGGTGTTGGTGGTGAAATATGGTTTCGATCATACATCTCAATGGATATCTAGGGGGAGAAGTACGGCAGATCAATCTCTATGTGGAAAGGAATTATGGGCACTAGAACATTGGTGCAGAGTTGTTCGAGATGGGTGTTGTGAAGGAGAACTCTATATCTTTCCGGCATAATAGATGGTTGGGTGATAGTGCGTTAAAATTTCAACTCCCTTAGACTTTTGCTCTGTCGACTAATCAAGGGCCTAAGGTAATGGAGATGAGTGAAGCAGTAGAGGGTAATAGAATGGAGAATTCAGCTTTCCCGCAATATGGTGCCAGGTTTTGTGATCTTTCAGTATGCAGTCTTGTTAAACAATCTTCAAGGATTCCGTATTTCACAATTGATGGAAGACGAATTAGTGTGGGAGGCTGAGAATGATAGTGTGTTTAGCGTCAAGTCTGTCTATGACATTTTGTTTTATGATAGATTGAGATAAAAACGTTTTGTCTATGACATTTTGTTTTATGATAGATTGAGATAACAACGTGTCTTTAAACAATCTTTGGAGTTGGCGATTCCTTTAAAAGTTTGTGTTTTTTTGTGGATCTTATTTCAAGGGAAGACTAATGGTAGATGGTAGACAATCTGATGAACAGGAGCAGGACCATGGCTAATGTGTGTATTCCTTGTAAGGCGGTTGAAAATAGTGGGGGTCATCTTTTTCTTCATTGTTCATTTGCTTACAATATTTGGTATTGGGTGTTTCAGATATTGTGACTTTCAACGGTGTTTCTAGGCTCACATGTTGATATGTTGGATAAGTGGGATTGCTGCAGTTTAACAAAGGTGGGAAGGAAAATATAGAAAATGGCGAAGGCATCCGTCTTAAGAGCTGCGGAAGGAGAGAAATTCCAAGGTTTTTGAAAGGACGAGTTGTGTAGGGGAGGTGTGGTTAAAATAAGGATTCTTCGTAATGTTTGGAGTTGGCTATCTATCAACAAAGAAGGATTTGGGGTATCAGAAGTTGTTGTAATTGTTAATCTTGCAAATTTGATCAAGCAAAGGTTATTAAGATTCGACCCAGGGGTGTTTGGATACTGCCAGTAAACGAAAGTCTCAAGTTGAATTTTGATGGGAGGTCATATGAAAATCCTCTTGGAGGGATTATAAGGGACTCAAATGGTGTAGTAATTTTATGCCATGCAGGACCTTGTAGGATGACTACCACAAATCATGTGGAGATGGAAGAATTGTTATGAGGAATTCACGTTCTGCATCATAGATTTAGATTCAAGCCTTGTATTGTTGAAGGTGATTATCTTAATATCATCAATTGGTATAATAAGGAATTTCGGCCGCCATGGAGCTTGAGAAATAAGTGGATAGAGGTTATGGACATTAGTGGTCAGCTGGAAGTCCCTTTCGAACATGTGCATAGGGAGGCTAACGAAATAGCAGATGACTTAGCGAAAAGAGGGTTTCAGGTGGGAGAGATGTTGATTTATGAAACTTTAACTCTTTGAAAGAAATTTTTATTATCGTAATGTCTTTGACCGAGGGAGTTATTGTCTTGTATGTCCTCACTAGAGCATGCTATATACACCATATTAAAATAAAAGAAGATTAAAAGACAAAAGTTCTTCATTCCTCGAAAATAAATATTCTACATGACAAATTTTTGAGAGATTGGAAACAAAGTTGAAGATGTATGACATTTCTATAAAGAGAGAGAGAGAAGTTTCTAATTGTGTTTCAAAATTGGAAAAAGTGTATATAAGGATGCAACCTTATCATGTAGAACTATGGATGCACCTCAAAAATCCATCGAAAAATGTAGTTTTGATGTTGACAAACCCTTTGATTGATCATCTCGACATCGAGATGTATGACCATGAAAAATAAAAAGGTTTTAAGTCTCAGAAATAGTGCATTTTACAGCATATTATCTACACCGTCTATTTTCAAGATTTTCATATGTTTATAGATATACTTGATTTTAACTATTTTTTAAATTTAAAATTTTATAATTAGATATAAAAATAGATTTTGAGATAATCCTATGAACATTTTACATCAAAATTATATACCATGATAAAACTTGAAGGTGCACCTTAACTCTACAGCTACGGATGCATCTGTATGCCAATTGCACCTTTCAAAATTTGCCTACCCTAACTGTGCATATGTGAGATAGGCATAGTTTCTAGTCAGAACCAGGACATGGTCTGATTCCCATAGACTCACCTAATTATATCAGAGAATTAGGCAAGTCTATCACGGACTGGGAGATCTGAATCGCCTAAATAGCCCTATTCTCACTTGTTTTGTTTATAGAATTGTTTCTTGACTGATTCTCATATAAGAGAATCAATCCAATTCACGAATTGGCATCGGATTTATGAAGGCCAATTCACCACGCCGATCTGGTTTTTGAAACACTGTTTACTACGCATAAGTAGCCACAATCTAAAAACAAACCTGCATAACGAGCCATACAGCCCAAGTTGTATATGCAATGAGCATGAGAAAAGAGGCTTTGGTCCATCCCTTCTCTGAAGCCACATGAAGACTAGCACTGTATCCACCACTCTCTTTGTGACCAACATGCCCATCCCAACCAAAAAGCTTCAAAGGAGGGCCCTTGTACAAACAAAGCACAATGGCACCCATTATAGATATCAGAGCCCCTGTAACCTTTGCTTGACCGTACATACCCCTTATATTTACGCTTTCTATCCTCATCAAAATGGCTGTGAAAAGGGTAATCACAGGAATTATGTTCGTTGTTGTGGTTACAAATGTAGCGGAAGTGTAAGGAAGTGCTGCGTAGAACAGATCTTGACTCAAAGTGATCCTGAAATTTCATAACAAATCATTTGTCTCAAAACTAAATTTCAATAACTTCACCAGACTGGCTGTTTCATAACATAATCATTAGCCTAATGATTGAACACTCTGCTGAGTCCTCTCGGACTCGGCTGAGCTATTGGGACTAAACTCCTTTTTAAGCTTAGTACTTGGGTCTAACTCGAGACACTTAAGGCGTATTTGACAAGCGGGAGTTTCTAGAAGTGGGTGTTGAATGTTCCACTTCCACATTTGATATTACATGCGGTAGCCACAAAGTGGAATGGCAGCCACACATTTGATATTACATGCGGAAGCTACAAAGTGGAATGGCAGCCTTCCACAGAGCATTGACATCAAAGTGGGTTCATTTCTGGATGGAAGGGCCTCCTTTCATACTTTGTAGGAGACTCCCTCAGAAAACCAAAAACTCCCGCATATCAAATGTGTCTTTAAAGATACTATAAAAAAAATATGGAATCAAGGTATAAAATTATATATGTAATTTGGATAGTTTTTCATGATTTATGAGTACTTTTTATCAAATGACCGATTTTTATGTTTTCCTATTTTTTAAGATTTTTCTAAAATGTTTCCAACTGTAAATTAGTTTTTTTTTTATAAATGCACAGTTTTATTTAAGGGTTTTGGTTTCTCTACTCCACTTGGTCAAGACCGTATGGCCGAGTTACTCACCTTGGCCCGGGCCGAGTTAGGCCCGAGGCGAGTGAAAATACATTGCATAAGCCTAAGCGTGATTAAGTCTTGGACTACCTCTAACTGAGCTAATTAGAAGAAAAACATCATATATTTCAATTGGACATCACTTAGAAGAATCATACCCAAATAGAGATAGAAGGAAAATCTTGCAAAAGACTTTGAATGATAAAGGTGGAGCCTCAGTCCTGTAAAGTAAGATAATGAACACGATTGTTAAATATTCTACGACAGGAATCAAATCATAGGCATGAGAGGAAGTAATGTAGGATCACGATTTATTTGTGAAAGTGTAGAGGTGGTCTATCATCATTTGATCCTTATCTCAAATGTTTGAGGTCAGGTTCGACTATAGAGATAATTACCTTTCGAAATAACAGGCGGGAAGTACCAAGACTACCGCAGCTATGCCTTGTCTGTACACTACAAAAACAAATGGGTTCATCCCATTGTCGAGTGCCGCCTTCGATATGAAGGTCATGCCTGCAAACACAAATTGGATGGACACCATTGCTAGCCATGGTTTGTGATTCTCCATCACTCTCCAACCATTTGACATCTCTCTCCCTCTCAGCTGCAAAGCAGTAGGACTCACTTGTCTAGTACGGCTACCACCACAAACAATGAGTGCATTGCATTGCATTAATAATATATAGGAGGGGGATCTTTCTCTCTCTTTCATCTTAGGAGACATGTTTCGGGTAGAGGGGGATGTCCACTGGGAAAAAGGAGGTGAGAGCATAGCCCACCACACACAATGCACAGCTCAATTGCGTCAAAACATATAGTGAAATAGTTTCTTCCTTTTGCTAAGAGAAAACGTGATGAAAACAAGGGGTCCCTACCCTGGCCCGTCCCGGCCTTCTCCAGTGCTGCCCAGCAAGGCCTAATAGATTCTAGAGACAAAAACAAAAAAAAGAGAACATCTGGCGCTGGCCTAGGCACAACCCAGATCGACCAACCTCGAGGCATATCCGGAGTTTTCCAAGGCTAGACCGACTGGACCGATACAGAAGATGAACCGCCGGCCCCACTGCCATCCCTAGATCAACATTGTAAGGTGATGAGATGAAATTGTGGGATCACTTGCCAATATGTGGCGCAAATTTAATCACGTTGAGAGGGGTTAAACTCAAAAGGAAGATGATGCTTCAATCATGGCATCGTTGAAGCGTTACACTTATCTCCACCACAAAACGCAGTGAAGGCCTGCACCGAAGCGGACGTGACACAGTATAAGTAGTGGCAAGAAAGCAACACGCCCTTGTCTTATGTTCCTTGCTAATCCTCAATACTAGTTATTAGTTAAATCTTCCAAGAAGATATATAATTAAGGGTGCGGCAGTTCCTTGCCCATTTGCTCTTAACAATCAAATTAGAGCCTACTTTCAAATAGTGTCGAGAGGTTTCAATACTGAAAATCTTTGCGGTAGTTTTAAAATATATTTTTATTTTTATTTATAAAGTTTAAAGCTTTAAAAATAGTGACAAATCTATAAAAACTTGAAAATCATGAAAATTGACGATCCAAAAATAGGTTACAAAATACACTATTTCTAAAACTTGAAATCCATTTTTTTCTCATGCCCATACATCTTGATGTTGAGATGATCAATTTGAGGATATTTAAGCATCAAAACAACCTCTTCCAATAAAATTTTTGAAGTACGCTCTAATTTTGTTGTTTAGAGCCTCCTCTCTATATAAACTTTTCCCCGGTGCAAAAAAGGAAAAAGGTAATAAACTTCAATAATAGAGAATCTTTTAGAGGCATCCCCAACCGATTAAACCTCGTTTTCTTAATGCGAGGAACGTAAACTGGCTCACTAGGGATAAAATGTTTCCTAGTGTGTCCCCCACCGTTATACATTAGTCTAAAAAGAGTATCTAAGGGGTTTATGTCAAATTGGATGCTAGTTTTCAAAATACTAGATGAACAACTTAAAATGGTTTTGAGCACACAATAGTAAAAATAAATAAAAAAGGGGAAAATGTTTTTGATAGGCCTACAACCCTTAAAGTAATGTTTACCTGAAATCTCACCGAAAATTGCAGTTCTGGTATAGAAAGACCTTCAAATTGATCATCTCGTCCTTGGCCATATGGTTGTGAAAAAAAAAAAAGGATTTCAAGCCTTTCACAAAAGGATTTCATGCCCCTAAAAAGTGTATATTGTACACACTATCTATATTAGAATTTCAAAATACTGCGGAGAATTGATAAAAAATATATAAGACCTCGTATAAATATAGGCCAGTAATAGTTAAAGATAAATACCAATAGTTATGGATAGAAACCACCTAATCTTATCAAGAGATATACATCCATACATTTCGATATTTATACTATGTATCCATATGATACATATCCATACGTTACACCCTCCATCAAACTCAAGATGCTTTGAGAGAGAACAGTTTTAATTTGAACAACAATTCTCAAATCGAACAATTGAATCTTTCTTCAGGTGCACAGCTTCAGATTGTTTGATTAACAAGCACAATTAGACCTTAAATTCGGAGTTCAAAACAGTAAGATACATGACAAATCAGTAGGCAGAACATGACAGTATCGAGCAATGATATATCAACACGCCTAAAAAACAGACGGCAATGATATATCAAAGGTAGGATTGAACAATCACAAAAATTTCAAAGGTAGGATTGAACAATCACAAAAATTTACGATCTTCATCGGAGACGTCAGAGACAAGAAAGCAATAAAGACAGCCGAGAATAACTGAATGGCACTTGGAAGAGCCAATTGATTTCAATCCAAAGCCATGTGAGCAGCTCGCTAGCCAGAACAGAGACAAGGGTTACTTTGCAGAGAGTCGAAACATGACTCAACAGAGGCTCAGATGAGAGGCTCTAATACCATGTTAACTCCCAAAGATGCAGAGAACTCTCTGTATATTGATCGATTGATAAAGAATATATAAGACCTCGTATAAATATACAATCAGTAATAGTTAAAGATAAACACTAATAGTTATGGATAGACACCACCTAATCTTATCAATACATTTGTACCATACATATGGATATCGGTACTATGTATCCATATGATACATATCCATACGTTAACAATCTAAAACCTCCATTTCTCCCTAAAAATAAGATTTTACAAATCACCAAGATCTGTACCATTATTTAGTTTTAAATTTCATAGTTGATATTGGAAATTGATTTATGACCTATCATGGAGGTTTCTAATGCGAAAACCCTTTTCGAATGGGGATTCAAGGTGAGGCTTTAATAGGCTTAGTGTTTTTCTTTTTCGATGAATCTTGTACTAGAAAGGTTCGCTAGGTAAAGAGGATGTGTATGCATAAAATAGGGTTAAAACCAATATTTTAAAAAACAGATCAGTGGAGCAGATCGTTTGCCTGCGAGACCCATCTGGAACTACTGGATCATCGATTCGGATCATTCTCACATCATCCAGATCGGTGATCAATACAAAAAATTAAAAAAAAAAAAAGAAAAAAAAAAAACAAAATAACATTCAAAGTTAAAATAGTGGTTTTTGGAGTGGAGATCTAAGAGGGACCAAGTACAACATTAGATAAGATTAAAGAAAAAAAATGAAAATCAGGATTTTAGAAGGGAAACGAGTCGGGACTCATATTATCCCGACCGATTATGCATTCAGATTGGCAATCTGGATCGGAAATTACTGGGTTTTAAAACACTAATTAGAACTATACATTCCAAAAAAATTCCAAGATGTTTGAAAAAAAAAATAAAAAGTAAAGAATTGAAAAAGTAAGAATGAAAATTGCCTTGTCAATGAACATGGGCCATCCAAGTCAATTAGAGTGGGCAATTGGGCCTATACAGTAACACCGCCAGCTGGCCCATAAAACTTTTACCAATTGGGAATCTTAAATTTTTCACTGCTTTTATTTTTCCTTCTAATTTTCTAAACCCTCCCCCTCTTTGTCACTATGTCTCATCCCCATAATATCTTCACTTATTCACTTATGGCATATGCTTGATCGTGAAAGAAGGGACTGCCAAACCAATTCCTTTCTATTTTAACATTGTTTTTAAACCACTATAAGGACTTCGCGCCTCCATCTTATGGCTTCCACAGGGATGCAACAAACGTTGGAGTGGGACTGGTAGAACTTGGGTCTCCTACTACCTAAAATTTCTACTAAAACAAACACGACGTTAAAAATCCCTTTGATTTGTTATTAGGTCTTGTGTTTGTTGGGTCTATCTATTCATGCTTATGCAAGCATTGTGGGTACGACGAACAACATAAATTTTGGTGTTCTTTTTCTGTTATTTCTTTCTTGTTTTTTTTTTTCTTGTTTTTTTTTTTCTTGTTTGTTGTTTGTTCTATTTTCTTGCGCTTTATTTGTCAAAAATCAACCCGTCCGGTTTAGAGCTTCTATACACAACATTTAATGTCTATCTTAATTGAGTTCCCCTATGAGTATCCTAGTTTTCTTTTTTCTTCTTTTTTTTCCTTCACTCCATCCTAATTATGATTCAACAGAAAATGAAACATTTGGAAAGGGCTTTGTATGCTTATTATTCTTAATATATATATATATATAGAGAGAGAGAGAGAGGGAGAGAGAGACTTTCTAACGGTTATTTAAGTCATCTCAAAAAAACATTTAAACAATTGTGAAAAATATTGAACATATATAAACAACATTAATAACTAAAAATAAAAATAAAATTTCATTTTAATTAAATTGAATATTTTGAAACATATTTTTCCTCTAATATGGTCAAGAAAATTATGCCATGCACATGTCATTAGCTAGTTTTCATAAAATAAAATAAAATAAAAATTGCATTAGGATTTACTTTATGAACTAAAGTTGTAATTTTGGACACTTGTAAGTGTTCTTGTCGGTATGAATAAAATTTTTAACCATATATAAGTGGCTAGATCATATTGTCCACCTTTTAGATGAGTAATTAGATTTTCTTTTTATTTTCCTTTTCTCAAATTATTGCTTCTGGATAATGTAAGAGATGCTTTAATCCCATAATTTCATTTAATAAAGCTCATCTTTCATGTGTTTAATGTATGGATTTATTTCTTTTTCTTTTTTCCCTTGTTGAACCAAGGTACTCCATTTTTTATTTTATTTTTTTGGGTAATTCAATGGGGATGACGAGCCTCTACCCATTTTTTAAATGGTTAGTAGTTTTTTAAAGTATTAGGTGATAATAAAAACCTAGACTTTAACTGGGGCATATGTGATGCTACCACCACGACCCCAACCCCATACTTCATTATTCTTGATAATTCATTGTGGTGAAGTTCAACACCGAAGAAATAGCCTATCCAGGTGATAAAAAGAATACCCTTAGAAGTTACTACTTCGGCCGGCTCTTGATGAATTTCAAAAAGGTCCTTAAGGCCGACAGGAGGGTTAAAGGCATGTAAGGATTTCCCCAAAGATACACGGATTTGATGGGATGAATTCATTGTACATGGTACCCAAAAGAGAAAGGCTCCCATGAAATATAGGTCAGGCATTGCAATGCTGCAAGCCGTGTTAGTCCTTGCACACCAAAATTCCTTGACGATTTTGACTGTGTTTGAACTAGTGGTTTAAAAAACGGATCGGTGCTCCGGATTGGGCACCCCAGAAACCCATTTGATTCGGGTATCGGCGTTTTAGATTGGGAATCGATCGAATCGTTCGTATTCAGTTTTAAAAAAAATCCACAATAATTATTAAAAATCATTATAAATATTGCTCTTTAGGAATTCAATAAGAAATGGGGGTACTACATTATGAACTTTCATTTTTTTGCATCAATATGTGAATATTGAGATGTTCTTTTCCTGTATGAATAAATTTAAAATTTGTTTTCT